ATCTTGGTACCTGTAATTACATTTTTGAAACCGAGGAAACTGTCCGGTGTACATACTAGGTTGGTATGAGAGATAAAAAGAGAATCTTGGTACCTGTAATTACATTTTTGAAACCGAGGAAACTGTCCGGTGTACATACTAGGTTGGTATGAGAGATAAAAAGATAATCTTGGTACCTGTAATTACATTTTTGAAACCGAGAAAACTGTCCGGTGTACATACTAGGTTGGTATGAGCGACTTTCTAGTTTCATTTCATTTCATTTATTATTAAACTGAGCTGTATGTTCTTTCGTTTTAACTATGATGGGTTTAAAGTAAATCCGTAAACCAAAATTGTTTGTTTCTTGTTTACGTTTATTGAATATTCTCTTATAATGCACGTTCATTTCTGTAATTATAACAGGTTTTAAAGTAAGCTTACTGCGAAGGGACATATTCTTTAGCAGTTGTGCTAGTTTTAGGTTGGGAATTTTAAGTAAGGTTCCATTGACCCAAAACAACATTCTAAACCAGAGAAATTAAAATACATTACATATATCATTAAATAATTAATTATATGAAATGCCTTGATACGTTTGCGGAAATGCCCCAACGTATAATGTTTTCTGAATGACAGCTTTCTGCCTCACGCATCGCAAGTTGATCGCCTGTGTTACATAGCAAATTGAAACTCACGTTCTACCATTAATTATATGAAATGCCTTGATACGTTTACGGAAATGCCCCAACGTATAATGTTTTCTGAATGACAGCTTTCTGCCTCACGCATCGCAAGTTGATCGCCTGTGTTACATAGCAAATTGAAACTCACGTTCTACCATTAATTATATGAAATGCCTTGATACGTTTGCGGAAATGCCCCAACGTTTAATGTTTTCTGAATGACATCTTTCTGCCTCAAGCATCGCAAGTTGATCGCCTGTGTTACATAGCAAATTGAAACTCACGTTCTACCATTAATTATATGAAATGCCTTGATACGTTTACGGAAATGCCCCAACGTATAATGTTTTCTGAAAGACAGCTTTCTGCCTCAAGCATCGCAAGTTGATCGCCTGTGTTACATAGCAAATTGAAACTCACGTTCTACCATTAATTAGTCATGGTTCGGTAATTTAATGTAGTTTACAAAGAAAGTTAAAAGTTTTCATACTGAAAGGTACTGTTCACGTTACACTTTCACATTGAGGCACAACATCAACTTAAATGAAATCTATCTTGTTTGGCTCGTTATTTTAACATATCTATTAGCGTTTTGTCTTTCTTTGAAGACCAGTATTATTCTCATTATTCCTTAAGCCAGAATGTTAGTTCTTAAATACCATTCTAATTAGCTATTTCACTACTGTTATCACATAACGTACCTTCCAGAATATTGCCATGGTCACATTCATGGGACACACTATATAACTGTCGTTTTAAGCCTGAAAAATTTTTCATGTTAAGTATATGATCTGAGAAATAAGTATGCAATATGATTAACAATTTTACAACGAGTTTAAATATCATAAACACTGCATATTCATTTGCAAATTTTGGAGTTTAAATATCATAAATACTGTATATTCATTTGCAAACTTCGGAGTTTAAATATCATGAATACTGCATATTCATTTGCAAATTTTGGAGTTTAAATATCATAAATACTGTATATTCATTTGCAAACTTCGGAGTTTA